GGTGTAAAGATTTCCAAGTCTTTGTGAGAGTTAGTTCACTGTGGCGACCCCTGAAGAAGGGAGCAGCCGAAAGAAAAAACACACTAATGGTGGTTAAAGCTGTAGATGTCACAGACTCTAACAACCAAACCATCTGAAACAAGTAGAGAGAAAAGAGCCAAACTCAAGTACTTACTGGTAGTACAATTACAACTCTATGAATATTTACTACAACTACTAACGATCTCTGCCCGTTCTGCACTGCGCTCCTCACACAGTTGGGACTAACAACATTGTAGCCGGCGGGCTGGCTCACTCTTCATAACGTGGACTGAATATGAATCTATTATTAATCTTTTCTTCCATGAAACACCAGGTACTCACCGGTTTTAACTAAAAGGAAAACAACGAATCATTTTAAGATGAAAAACGGCGCCCAAAGGAAAACGTCAGACATATTCAACTGAGATTCTGTTTAAAAGGTTATGAAAGATGAATATCTTACCTGTTGCAGATAGCTTTTTGAGTTACCTCAGCTCGGATAAATCAAGTTTTTGTCTGACTGGATTGACAAGCTGAGAGCTAGTTCGAACAAAACTAACCTTAAATCGCTGCTGTCTTAAAACGGCTCCAGTCTCAAAGGGTTCTTACAAACGTCACCATCATATTTACATTTCATGGGGTTTACAAAGAATTCTGGGATTGTTTGCAGCAACAAATAGTGTAAATATATATACATACTTGAGAGTAAATAGCAGCCAAAAGACGTAGAACTTCCCAGGACATCCAGGTGTCACATGTAGAGGCAACGTCATGAGATTTCTGCCAGATTAACCAGATTCATTTCTGCCAGATTACTTAATCTAATGTGAACTTCCTGCTGCTGGAACTCCCCACTTTTCAGTTTGAACTGAGGAACCTTTGATGAGGAGTAACACATCTAAAAACAAGAAAAGAAGTTGAGTTGTTCTGTTTAAGAACGTTCAGGGTTTGTGTAATTCAGTAATGACGGCAGTCACTATGAAGGTTTGAATAATATAGTTAGAATAAACTGCTGTGAAATGTTACGTATTGAAGCTGCGACCTAACGCGACCCTTTCATCTAAACTAGTCATTTGAATTTTGTCAGTACTGCCTGAACAGACCCACCTCTAATATCAGATCATTGTCATCTTAAAACAACTCCAGCCTTCACAATATCACAGCGATTCAGATGAAAGGTAATATTTCAATCGTTACACCAGAGGTTCACAAACTTTTAGCTTCCAACCTCTAAAATAACGACGGCAACCCCAAATATCCGTAGTTGAACAACACAAAGTTTGCTATTAAAAAAGGTAAATGCGAGCAGATCGACCAAACCAACCGCCTAAACTCATATTACACCATTATTTTCTATGTTTCACCATTGATTTAATATTTTAAAATAACTCAAATTTTATTGGCTGTATTTATTTTTGTAGCTTGTTGGTTTCTGAAAAATCATCTCAAGATATCAGTGTTTTGTGACCCACAGTGGGGTCCTGACGGAAGCACTGCCCACTGTCCATTTTTCACTACTCTGTTTCTTAAACACTAAAGGTAAACCTTTAGTGCCATATGTTGCTGGTGTGATTTACGCCTGTAAACTATGACAGAATTAGAGCCTGACCAATATGGACATTTTGGCTATCGTCCATATTGAGAGGGGCAGGCTATAATGGCTGAAAATTTTTCAGCTTTGTCCCAAGAATCTAAGGAAACAGCGAGTGGAGCGGGGCTTGTTTATTTAGCACAGCTGTTAGCAACCATGAAGCTAATCAGATCCATGCTATATGTAGTCCCATACTAGGTTTACAAGTGTGTTACAAAAATATAAATTAAACAAAGAAACACTCTTCTCTGTTCATTAAACAGTCAGTCATGTATGGTGAAGGTCTAATTAGTTTTGACCACAGCAGAGTTTATTTTTCTTTGTAGAGAAGTAAAGATTTCAGACAAACAATGTGTTTCTTTCAGGACGACAAAGATAATGTAATTATAACGTCCAGTACTCTGCTTTGATCCATTATTCAGTTGATTTGTACATTAAGACAGAATGTCAGAGCTGAAATGCACTTCTCAAGTATCAAGTTAAAAGTTTTAAATCTTTAACACTGATATATTTTACCTCTGCATTAGATTTGTTGTTCTGGATACAGTTTTACAAGCCTGCGCTACGTTGTCTAAAGGTTAGCTTGCTAACTTGAGAGGCACATATCTAACGACAAGCAGGTTGGAGGATTGAAGATAATACATTATTGTTAATTTGTTTTACAGATCAGTTAACATGCTCTCTTCAGCAAGATATGCCACTATTGTTCCCTGCTTCTGCTGCCCTGCAAGTGAAACTTAAGTGAACGGCCATGACTTGAAAGTAGTCTTCATGCCCCCTCTGCTGGATACATTGTACAATTACAGCTGGTTCACAGCATTTTAGGGGTGAAAATTAAAAGTGTTTATATCGGTGCATATTGGGACAGTTATCACCAGTATGTCCCCATACGTCTAGCCTAAAATATCAGCCCTACCGATATATCAGTCGGGCTCTAGATAGAATTTCATGTCAACAGACGTGTTTTGCAGAAGCTGGTGGTGAAGTAAAAGTTTATCAAATTAATTTTTGAAGATATGAGTTCCTTTAAGGTGGCAGTACTCCCTCCACTCTGGTCCTAGCCATAGGATACTATACCATACTAGCTATTAGCTTATCAAACTGAGGCTATCTACAACAGGTAAGATACTGATTAGTCATAACATCTACACAGAAACCCCACCTCAGAAGGGCTGAATTATTCCTTTAAGTGGCTCTTTTGTTGTTAAAGTAAATCTTGAATTTATTTGTTAGAAACTGAGCTTGATGTTGAACAACAGTAGAAGTGTTTTTTATATTAAATACTTTTCCTTTCTTGAGTGCTTAGATCACATCATTAGTCTGGTTCTACATATCAGATAACATATAATTATAACATCCAGTTCTCTGGTTTGGTCCATTATTCAGTTGATTTGCACATTAAGGCAGAATGTCAGAGCTGAATGCACTTCTCAAGTATCAAGTTCAAAGTTTTAAAGCCTAAAGTGCCACAGCATGAACTGCAGGCAGCTTTTAATTGGCCCCATTTAAAACCAGTGCATCTGTCACAGTGGGTGGTGCAGCCTGCTCTTTAGATCAGTAAAATATCAGATTGATGGGTGGAGTTCAGCAGAAGTTTGTTTTGGTGTTTCTGGAGCCTGGAGGAACAAAGACGGGTCAGAATCCTGGTTAAACTGCGTGTGGTCTTCTGTCGAGTCAGCTGAGACAAAGATCCTGGCCATGTTGAACTTGTGTTCCAGATAACGTCGACCTGAGTGGTGTTCAGATCATATCATTGACCTTTGACCTGTTCAGCTGCACACTCAGCGCACTTTTAAAGGGTGTTAACCAGAGTGATCGCCCCGCAGCGATACGACACTTGGCAGCGTTTAACGTGTCGGATGACGTTTGTTGTCTGGCTGCTCATCTTTTAGAGTTCTGTGGGAAGGTCATGAACAGTCAGTATCTTAACTGTTGTAGGTAGCTCTTTGAACAACCTCGGTTTGGAGACATCGTTTGTATTAGTTCACACATTTTACTCCATTAGTTTCACGCTGTAACAAACAAACTTTTATATGAATTATCTCTTTATTTCAAACTTCAAGCAGATTTGATTCGTGAGAAACGAGGCAGGAATGAGTATTTTGGTTGTGAAGGTTGCAGACTCCTGAGCAAGAACATTCCAACAGAACGTTTAAACATCTCCTCACAGTTAGCTGTTCTTGTGTCAGCCGATACATTGAGTCAGACTCTGGTGGTTTTGTTTTTGTATTATTTTTACTCCTGCCCTGGAAAACTCACGCTGCCTCTGATTTCACAGTCAGGAGTTCGTTTTGGTTTTATTATGGAAACCAGTTGTGCACATCTGCATATCAGCTGATGTGCGTGTGAAGTGTTGCCCTGAGCTGCCAGTTTCTAATTCAAGTGTAGTGGACTAGGCCTGATGTCGAAACCTTGACCTTAGGCACCTTATGGGACAGAAACTGTCATTTCATTGATTTGAATCCAGAAATACAGGTTGACCCATCCTGAGACTTTCTTTCTTGAAAATTCAAGTGAAAGAACACTCTCTTTTCTATTATCATTACTGTTTTACAAATGTTTGATAATCAAAGTGTTTTAGTTCAAACATTTTAGATGTTACAGTGAACTAATCAATTTTTATTAACTGTAAAACAGTAACAATGATTATTATTAATCCTCATGCAAAGTTAGAATTCATGTTAAGGTCTGTTACAGAGTAATTATGCATTTTCTGATTTTCTGTCTTTGAATGAGCAGTGTAAGTTTGGTCCAAGGTCGGAGTCTAAGCAGACAAGTGTTGGAACGAGCTGTGTTGTTTTTAAATCCTCTCAGACGTAAACAGAGAAGCTGGCACCTGTTGGCAGCTGT